ACTTACAATATTAGAGCTTTGTCTTGTCTTGATTAAGAGTGGATTATTCCTTTCTCATAATAAAACATAAGCATATTAGAAGTTATGGATTACCCTCTTCTATATTGATATTATTCCTAATATTTTATTTGTCTTCAAGTCTTTTCTTTTATATGTCTTAAGTAATATTAGATATTTTTTTGAGTACTATCATGATGGAGCTTATTGAAATGAAGAGTGCAATGGCACAAATGCAAGAGCAATTGAGAGAGTTTGTGCTTGCGATGCATCAACTTAGCTTACCACCACAAGGATCAACAAGAATGGCTGGAAGTGAGGATATAGAAATGATTAGAGCTGTTTCAACATCTGCACCAAATTATGTCCCTCCACCCATGATGGAACATCCTTTCACTACTAAAGAACTAAGAATTGTCCTTCCGAAGAAGTTTGATGGTACAAGATCTAAATTTCAAGGATTTATCAATCAAGTACAACTTATGATTGAACTTCAACTTCAAAGCAATCCAACTCTAGGATTACAAGTTAGATTCATTACCACACTTCTTTCAGATTCAGCACTATTTTATTTTTTATCTTTTTTTGAATGACGAGATCCAATATTGGATAATTTGGAGGCATTTTTGGTGGAATTTTAGTCCATGTATCGAGAACATGATACAACTTGTGTTACAACCAACAAGATCAATATTTTGTGACAAGAAAATTAATCTATAAAGTTATATACTTTACAATTTTGATAACTTGTAATTGATATCAAGTAGGATGATGGTCCTCTTATTAGCCAATTTCTCTATATTTTATAACATGAAGTAAAGAAATTGATCCTCAACTTACTTGATCTTCGAACATTAAGTCAAGCAATTGATTTTTGAATTTTGATTTGAAAGTTGTATAAATGGGCCTCAACATTACTACAATTCTATGGCAACACCAACATCTCCTTAACACATACATTCAAAAGTAGAGGATATGCAAATTGATGCAATACGTTTTAAACTTCTTATCAAATAAAAAAAGACTCAGTGCCGTTAAGAAGGATTGTGCATATATTGTAGAGAACCTAAATACACTATTCAATATTATTCAAAGAAGCAAAGAAATCACAAAATAATGAGCACATCTGTCAAAGAAGACAATATATTGGAAAACGAATTTGTCTAGCTACAATAGGGACCATGTGGCTAGAATCTTATACAATTTTTAATGAAGGTCCTATCCTCTCCTCAAAATCCTCTCTTTCCTTCAAGATGATGCAATCAAGATGAAGATCCTTAAGAATGGCATGTTTTTCTTTGAATAGATGGCGAGATACAATGTATTTGGTATCATGACCTTAGAAGAGACTCTTGATGTTTGGTAATTTTATTAGAAGTAGGAACAACTCCTGATGGTGTTCCAAATATTTTATTTGAAGGAAGTTATGAAGGCCTCAACAATGTTCAAATAACAAGGTGGTCTTCTCACCCTAGTATGAGACACTATCAATGGTTGAGAGGCCCTATGAACCATCTTTGAAGAGAATAAAGACCTGAGTATGTGGCAAATATAATTTGTCACATTTTAAATTTTTTCAACATATGATGACCACTCTTTGTAGAACTCATTCCTAGAAGAGGAGGTAATGTCATAGACATATGCATGTAAGGTAGTAATTACATGTATAAATAGGTAGAAGTAAATAGAAATAAGTAAAAGTAAGTTAATTTTATATTATCTTCTATGGAAGCTTTCTAGAAGCTTTATAGATGCTACTTTGACTTTATAAGTGTCTTTAATTGATTTTTTAGATTAAAAACGTGATCAATAAGTTGGCCATGTGCCATGCATGTTGTTAGCTTGAAGACTAAGCTAATTATGTGGCCCACACGTAGAAAAACTTACCTTGTAAGTCAAGGCATGTGTCTTACAAAGTCAACACATATTGGAGGTCCTATAGAATATTACCATGTAGCCCCTAGTTAGATAGTATATATAGAGATAAGAGTGAAGCCATCTTCACTCTTGTCAACTCCTTTCTTACTTCTAGTCTAGTTTCAAGAGTCTCAAGTTTTCTTGTCTTTTGGCAATAAGTCTTTCCAGTTTCTTTTAATATACATACTTCTTTATTTCTATTTTGTCACTCTTTTTTTGATATGGATTTCATTGGTTTATGCATCATCTTTTAGTTCATGTCCTTGACACCAATACATGTGATACATAGATAGCTTATTGACCAAGTTTCTAACCTATCAATCAACTACAAATATATGTAAAGTCAAAACAAAGTCTAGGAAGCTTTTAGGAAGCTTATCTAGAAGGTATGATTAAATTAATCTACTTTTATCTAATTCTACTTATTCATATTACATAAGTAATTATTATAATAGATATATATCCATAATAATAAAAAATATATTATTAAGATGTAATTTTACAATCATTCAAGAGATATTTCTTTTTTCTTTCTATCTAATTCAGATGTCAATAGAATAGAAGGAAGAAGTAGGACAGAAGTAGTGAATAAAGTACTTGAAAGGCATGCAATTGGCAATTGTATTACATAATGTGTTGCCCTCGATAATGACGCTTGGTAACAACTTAGTAGTAGATTGGAACAAATTATTTTATAGCACTGAGAAGTACTTTATTCTTGTTAGATTTGATAAGGTTGTGATATAAGTAGTTCCTATACTACAGAGTTCAAGTCGCAAATTGTAAAGGTAGATCAAGCAATATTAATTAACTTGATCTTGGTAAAAAAATAGAGATTTGATTTGAATATGAAATCTAGGCATATAGAAGCATTGAGATTATACAAAGCATAGGAGAAGAAGGAAGGAGAGAAATAAATAAATAAATAAATAACCATAATAAAAACAACAACTATAAAAATAATTTCTTCATTATCTTTATTTTATAAAGTTCAATATTTAATGCAATATAAAATGAGTATAAAGAACAAAGACGTAGTCTTTGTAAGCTCAATATTTGTGAAAGAACAAACAAGACAACAAAATAAATCACTACTTCCCTCCTAAAACAATGAAGCAAAATGATAATGATTCATGAAATGCCAATCCAATTGAAGTTAAATGGGATTCCTATAAAATAGCCACCAAAGAAAAATAGAAAAAAAAAGGGGAAAAAAAATATAAATTAATAGAAATTCTTCCATCTCATTGGTCCAGACCACTCAATCTTAGACTAGAAACCCATTTGGTCTGTAAGACATTATAAAATTTGAAGTGGATTAAAAATATTGCACACAATATTGGTAAGATTATATATTTTGTTGGATGGTACCTATGATGGAGATAAGCAGATAGAGGAGCAACCCACCTTGGCTGTCTATAGAGATAATTTATGTTTCATTCCATTTTATCTAAATAAATAGACTTGTCCTGTCTTAGAGATTGTTTGCAAAACCTAAGATGTCCATTTCATAACTTAGTTATTTAAGTTTTGTAGTAAATAAAAATTACGTTTGCCAATTATACTAACAATATATACATGGTTCCATAGTTATATATGTTTTAGATTGTTATAAAACATCAAAAAATCAATTTTTTATTTTTAATATGTTTATTAAATATTTTTTTATAATTACTAAAAAGTATTTCATACTAATGTAAAATTTTAATATAAGTTTATTACTTTGAAGCAACATCAAACTCTGTTTAAATCAATTGTTATGATAACTCACTTCAAAATTGGTATTTGGGAAGAATTGATGAAATTTTATTATTATCATTTATTGCAATTTTATGTCATGAATGAAGTTCAATTTATTTATTTATTTATTTATTTATTTATTTTTGTGATGGAGTTTTTGTATGAAAATATGACTGGCCAAAATGTAAACAATTATTGTTTGTATTTGAAAGGCATACATGATGGCATAATTGTTATTTAAATCTACAATTATCTGCAGAAAATTATGTTTTAAAATAATATAAAATAAAACCAATGCAATATATATTTTCTATTTATATGCATATACATCAAAATTATGAACTTATTTAAAATTATAATATGAAAAAATAATTGATGGATTAACAAGAAGTTGTGTCACAAGTTGAACTTCTTTTTGTATATCAATTGCATCATTTTTATAGATTATCAAACCTTAATAATTTGAAAAATTATATCACAACAAGACAAGACTTTAAAAGCTGGGCACAATTTCTTTGTTTCAGAATATAAGATTCATAAAATAAATGTCGGATTGATTCTTTGCATATGTTTGATGTCAAAGTACAATATTTTATCCAAAAGAATAATACTAGTGGCATCTAAAGTAGTGGTGAATGACGAATATAATCCTTTATCATCTCATTCAGTCACAGTTATTAGACCTTTAATTTATAATATTCACTTTTCAGAACGAGAGGGAATATTGAAAAATACGAATAGAAAAGTAAAAAAAAAAAAAAAATCATTAAAGTTACAGTACAGTTGCAGAAAACATAGTAGTGTCAAAAGATGTCACATTTGTCATTCACTTACAAAATATTAGGAAAAAGAACTACTTAAGTTTTTTATTTGGTATATATGTGTATACTTCCATCATCTAAAACGTATGAATTTTTTTCTAAATATCAAATAAATAGTCAAAAAAAGAAGCGGGCAAACAGTAAAATATGCAAAAGTTAACACAAACCAACGTTACTTTTTCTATTATATTTGTACACGTGACATTAGATTACAGATAAAACCAACTGTGAAGGAACGTGGTATTCTCCTTCGTCTTAATGAGCTTTGGATGCATCGAAAAGTAAAAAGCCCTGTTAAAGTAAAAGTATTGCGAAAAAAGCGATCCCCATGTGCCGAGGTTTAACTCTAAACAGAGTTGCCGCAATCGAGGGTGAATCGAGGTCGGGAATCTTTCTGCCACGCTTATGCCAAACTCAATCTTCCATAACCACACAATACCCAGGTCGAGACGGTCATTTATTTCAACGACCCACAAATTTTATTGCACAACAGAGGCGCACAGAGACAACCCATCAGACAAAGTGTATTTGGCGGTATCGCGGTGCTCACTGTAGATTTCGCGAACGACGCAAATGAACGGGATGAGATTGTGGGGTGAGTTCGTGTGGAGAAACAAAACCAATCTCTGAGTCGTAGTCGTTGTACCTCGTGTACGAAGGCACGACGGGAATGGCGATCACGTCGTCTAGCCGTTGAATGTGGTTGCATGGAACCCATTGACAGTCGATGCGAGTTTCGGACTAGGTGCAAACAGAGCCTCGGGATCCGCGTTGTTTTCCATCCAGTAGTCGGAGACAATCACCTCGAGGATCACCACTCGCGTGGCTTCGTCAGTGCGATTTCAGTTCGAGAGAGGCTATTTAGCTCCAGCAAACAACGTTTAATCGGGACGTAAAAACTTTCGAGCCACTCTGGCAGTTAAATTTCGTCTCGGACTGTGGGGCTCTGAGTCTGTTGCGAAAGGCTTTATTGGATGGCGAGCGAAGCATCCTCTTGAGCTGGAAGACAAACTCAAGGAGAGGAATGATAAGGGAACCCAATTTCGGGTCCCTTCCTGAACAACTTCTTGGGTCCGTGGCTTCTTCCAGTGCTTCGCCTCTTTCTCTTCAAACCAGCAGTGGTGGCCATTGCTAGCGCTAGTTCTGGTGCTGCATGCACATTCTTGTGCCAAAAGAGCACAAGAGTCTTTGGAGTCATCGGGGCTGGGGTGTGATCCTAGTTCGGCACTTGAGAGTTGCACAGTACCTTTACATGTGTCGCCGCAGCTGCCATCGTGGTTCGTGGAAAGTATTCTCTTGCGTCTGTGATGCAAGTTCCTTTTCTCTTGACTGTGACCAACGCGACTAGTCGAAAGGTCTCATCGTATGGCGATTTAAGCGTATGCTTATCAACCGAGTCAAACCTAGGGAGGCGAACTTGTTAATCTCTGTTTCAGTTTTTTTTGTGCCCAAGGCGACAGAGTTTGTGGAAGGAGTTGTTCGAGTCACCTGCTTCGCGTCCCCTTGAACTTCGACGGAGATTCCAAGGTGTGACCACTACTAACGTAAGGTTCTCATGATTGTTAGAAATTCCAAAGTTGATCGATTCTTCCACAGTCCGTGTACTGCCAGTCGCGCAACAGGAATCGTGTGATCAAATCAAGCGCACAAATTTGTCGTACCGTAGCGTGTGCTCGTGGTCTTAGTCTTCGGAGGCTGCTGGGAGTAGTAATATGTCGGGAGCTAGGGCTTGAAAGAAGATTACATAGCAATTTGGTGCAGAATGACACAGGAATATTATGCACCTATTCACTGCTTTTCCGTTCCGTTGCTGCAACATGTTGTCTTTACGACGGAATACTGCAGTTCGAAAAAAAGTGGTGGATTCTTAAATTTTGCCAATTCTGAGTGCAGGAAACAGAGCGCGATGACGTCCACGAAATAGAACATTCTAATACTGTGATCTAGTGGTGAGTTCTGCGGAGGAAAACATATTCTCACAGATGGAGACCCTGATTGGCGCTGTGTCGAGGATAGAATGGAGAGTGGGATTGGTGCTCGTCGTCTCGGCGTATGTAGTTTACGAACAGCTTTCTTTCATGACTAAGAGGAAGCATTTGCCGGGGCCGTCTTTCGTGTTGCCCTTCGTGGGCAACGTGATCGCGATGGTGGTTGATCCTGCAGGATTCTGGGATCAGCAAGCAAATTATGCCTTGAAGGTGAGAACCTACTCCGACTTCAATTCTTGCTGATGAAATCATTCCTTTAACCTGATTTTCTGCTTTTTAAACATCAATATTCTTCGGTTGCCCACATACGGATAATATTTCGTATGATCAGGTTGGAGTTTCCTGGAATGCTCTACTCGGAAAATTTGTATTATTTGTGCGAGATTCCCAGCTCTCCCAGAAGGTCTTCGCAAACGTTCGCCCGGATGCATTTCACCTCGTCGGTCATCCGTTAGGCAGGAAACTATTTGGAGAGCACAACCTCATCTTCATGTTCGGGGAAGAGCATAAAGATTTGCGCCGCCGACTCGCGCCGTTATTCACGACTAAGTCGTTGGGCGTGTACATATCAATCCAAGAGAAGACACAGAAGGAGCATATTGCCAAGTGGATGGCCATTGCAAAGGATCTTGGCGATGACCCAATTCGCGTACGCATGCTCTGCAGAAACATGAATCTGGAGACCTCCCAGAACGTCTTTGTGGGCCCATACCTCACGCCGGATATGCGCAGACAGTTCGACGAGGACTACAAAAACTTCAACACCGGGCTCATGAGCTTGCCCATCAACCTCCCAGCCTTTTCATTCTATAAAGCTACGCGATCGGTGAGAAATATCCAAAACATGCTCACAAAATGCGCAACAGCTAGCAAAGCAAGGATGGCGATGGGAGAAAACCCTTCTTGTCTGATGGACTTCTGGATGATCGAAACTGTGCGGGAACTTCGGGACGCTGAAGCCGCAAACACTCCTCCCCCTCCCCATTCTTCCGACTACGAAATTGGCTGCCACCTCTTTGACTTCCTCTTCGCAGCTCAAGACGCATCCACATCCTCCCTGGTCTGGGCGATAACCCTGATCGAATCGCATCCCTACGTGCTGGAGAAACTACGAGAAGAGCTTTTGTGTCTACGTCCTGATCCTTTGGCGCCCTACACTCCAGAATCATTGCGGGAGATGAAGTATACCGAAATGGTGGTGAAGGAGGTACTACGCTACCGACCTCCAGCAACCCTGGTTCCTCACATTGCCAACACGGACTTCGCCTTGACGGACACATACACCGTTCCCAAAGGCACCATTGTCTTCCCTTCTTTGCTGGATTCATCGTTCCAGGGCTTCAAGGACCCTGAAGTCTTCGATCCAGAGCGATTCTCCCCAGAACGAATGGAGGATCTAGTGTACAAGAAGAACTGGTTGTTGTTCGGAGCTGGGCCGCATCAATGCATCGGACAACGATACGCCATCAACCAGCTTATGCTTTTCATCTCCCTCTTCTTCACACAGGTGGATGTAAAGCGAGCTAGAAAGCCAGGGTGTGACGATCTGGTGTACACACCCACCATTGCACCCAAAGACGAAGGCCTAGTTTATCTTTCCCCCCGGATTGTAAAACAAAAAGATTAATGCGATTCCCTTGTGTCAAACTCCACAGCATCGATTTGGTCATTATTCCGGGTGAAAACTTCGCACAACCAGACTGTAGATGCAAATGTGTGTTAGAGGGCTATGAGGATAAATCATATTTGTTGGGTGACCAATAGATTGGCTGAGGCGTTTTGCCTTCGCGACAAAGCCAAGGGCGGACTAATCACCAAATCAAGTGCGATTCGTGGATGTGGTGCACAAATTATTCTACAATGCAATTCTACTACAGTTTCAAACATTGAACGTGTGCTTACGAGTTTAGTGCATGCATCTGAACTCATGAGTGAAGCTTCGCATTGCCTTCACCAACCAGCATCCAGCGCTTTATGAAGTTTCAGTGATTTCTACAAACAATCAACATTAGTTTAAGAAGAATTTGAACTGCATTCATCAAGGTCCACATATTGAGCCACCTCAAGGTCTCCTTGAGGATCGAATTCCAACACTTGAAACCCATCAGAAGCATCCACTTCTCCCCTTTCCTCCCCAAATTCAGACCCACCAGGTTTTTCCCCCTCCTTAAATTTGGCCTCCTGCACTGCTATATTTGAAGGCTGTCTAAAGGCGACTTGGAGCTCGTCCAGAACACCAGTCCGGCTGCTCTGCACAGACAGAGACTCTGAAGCGTTCAGATCGTCCACCCGATGATCCACCTCGTGCTTACCTTGGGACTCAACCTCTGACACCTCCTCTGACCCAACATTTGGATTAAGTCTATTATTCAATTCAGCTCCTTGGTCCGAATACTGAAGCTTTCGCTTCGTCTCCCAAAAAGAATCCTTTTCGTGGTTATCCCTGTATCTTTCTGCAAGCTGCACATGATCTCTGCATCCTGAACCAAATTTATCAACGACACGATCTGTTTCCTGTTTCCGTCGCGTCATGTACAGAGAGCTTAAGTCCGACAGCCAGGTTCGGGTTGAGTGCTCCCGCTCACGAACTCTATCCATCCACTGGAACCCCAACTCACAGAGCCACGCATCGTCGTGAAACTTATATTGGCCCCTTCTCGTCCGATACCGACGCTTCATCCAACGCATCCCAAAATCCGCAATCCAGGAATCGTCCAACTCGTTATCTAACTCTTCTTCATGTTCTCTTGGGGAGAAGTAAGCGCTGCAGCTGCTCAAAGGACCCCGAGTCTCGTATAGCTTCTTCCGGATCATATACTGAGCACCAATCTGAGAAATCCAGTCCTCCTCTTCATCTTCCTCTTCCTCTCCAAATAGTGGAGTCTTGCTGCTGTGGTGACTTGGTTCCCAAACGAAGTCACTGCCCTGAGAATGAAATCCGAGGGAGGTTCGCCTTACGCTAGGTCTGCTGCTCATGAACTTGTAACCCATGCTTGTTATAGCCTTCTTATTCGTACCAAACGACTTTTGCCTCTTCGAAGCCCATTCTGACCCCAGTTTGCAGATGTCACTTCCTTCCACTTCGGCTTCCCTCTTTCTTTTCATTGTCACTGCCAAGATAAATGTTCAAATTAAATGGAATTATTAACATGTTCGAGATTCCCTGGCAATACTATGTACCCCACCAAGTTGCCAGGAAAAAGATGAAAAAACAGAGATAAGATGTACATGAATCTATAGTCTGGCATATGGGCTGAAAAAAAGTAAAAGGTTGCAGAAGTAAAGAGTAGAGAAAGGAGTACCAGTGATGAGTAGAGAAGATTGGCATCACAGATTGCTCCGCATCCAGTTCGGTCAAATAGAACGAATACCAACCCTGTTATCAGCAACATTACCATTGCAATCATCCAGAGAATAGACTCCGTTGAACCTAAAATTGATCAAATCAGCCTCAATTAAATTTTTCATCAATACGCTACGTTGCACGGGGGGAGCTTTCTCAAGATGATTAATACCAGCTATCAGTGAAATTGATTAACACTCCAAACCCATTCGCGATAATACATCATCACTACTAAAAAAAAATGAAGGCCACATAATTTGCGACAGAACCGACTTGACATAAAACCGGATGTCATAGAAATCATCGGTTGAGACTAACTAAGCTTCGCTATGAAAAATAACCTTCACATCCACGTACAAATTAAATGGCAGGAGATAGCAACACAAAATTAGTCCGATGATACAGTTGTTCTGGTTAATGCTTGAGAATGTTAATAAAACGAGGTTACAATGCATCAGAAACTGTAGCTCAACAGATTCTTCTCATAAACCCTACTGGTGACCCGACATAGATATCAGGGCTAGTATTAGTTTCTGTCTTGCAAATCATGAATAGTAGAGCCTCGATATCTTTGTCTTTTTTTCTTCGTTAAAAAACTGTTTTTTTTCCAATCGGAGCACGTTAAGTCGAAGTACCTGAAATAAAAACCAGATTATCTCGACTTTGTCACGTTCGTCGCTGGTTAAAAGCCACGTTTGGGGAAGAAAACACAGCTAGTATCAAACTTGCCCATTAAAATTCACCCATTAGAATCCACTCGATCCGTGTTCTTCCTGTTGCAGGGATCTGCAACAAATAATTCAACCCAAGAGACTTCACTATGCTCTTCTACATTCGTCAAAAATCAGAAAATATCAACAAAAAGTTGAAGCCACAAACCCTTGAAACCCCTGGAAACCTGGAGGCACTAAAATGCGATCCATTTTCACGACAGCGCGCGAGTACAAAAAACTGTTGATGTTGAGCAAGCACAGCGGCGATGATAGAAGTCGTCGATCATTACGTAAAACACGTAAACAATAATCAGAGTCGCAAGTATTCGAAACAGCAAAGTCCCTTGAGAGTCATGAAATAAACACGCAATCCCCTCGACTGCACGTCACCGTTCGAGACTTTCACAACCGGTGACTATACTGCTAAATTCCCAAAATCCATAACCAAACTTCAGAAAAAACTCAACCCTAAAGCACTACCATGAATCTCTCACAACAGTGCAAACACGTAGCTCTTGCCCCCACGTCTCGACCGGAGCTTTCGCTCAACTCCCGCTCACAATTTCCTGCAAACCTTCGTGTGGTGGTTCGAACGCAAACCCTTGACACTTACAAACCAGGAACAGTTGAACCCTTCAAACCCAATCGGTTGCTGCAACATCGTGCCTCCAAAATCCCGCCCTCGTTGTGGTCATTCTTGCAATCTTGCGCAGAACAAGGTCCAGATTCTGCCTATCTTTCCGACTATCCATGAAATTTAAGATAATCCCGAATGTCGATCTAAACCCAGCTTTGATATCCAGCTCCCCATCTACAAATTTCTCGCTTAAGAAGTCAATGTCCACAAAGTCGAGACATGCGTCGCCGAAAATAGGAGTCTTATGCATGCCTAAGCTTCACTCTTCTGGTTCCGGTGGTATTGGTCGTATCTACCAAAACATCTGATTTCATTGATTTCTTGGAGAGAGCGTGCGCCACTGACCGTTGGTCGCCCGATAATGCGAATACTACGAAGCAGGCTTCGGGAGGCTCGCCTGCCACGTTGGCATTGGCCTTGGAGGCTTTATTCTAAATTTTGTGACGTGGACAAAAGGACTAAACTTCTATTAATGAGATCTTTCTCTTTCTCATTGTTTCTTGGAACTACATGTTATTTGGAAGTGTGGAAAAAATAATTATTAGTTAATAAGCATAAAAACTTTCAAAATTAACAAAGTGGCTTATTTTTAATTTATATTTAATTAATAATAAATATTTTATACAAATTTTAATGCAACCCTTTGTCTAAGTCTAGTAGTACCAAAAGTGTCATGTATTCTTCTTAAACATTCTTTTTCTTATTCTTTTTTCTTTTGTACATGAATCTAGATTTTATGAACTAAAAAAAGAAAATAAAAACATTAAAGACTTTTGAATATATGTATGTATCTATTATATACTTGGATATAATATAAAGAGACAAAAAAGGCTCATGATTGGCTATAAAGAAGAAAATTCAAAGAATATAGGAATTAAGGTAGGTTTAAATATGTCCAATTCATTGTTGTTGTATGACTCTAATTTGACTTTCAAATTTTAGTAGAAGCATGTTTTTAGTGCCAAAGATGTTCTTTGGACTACATTTTTTTAATCAAAACATTCCTTAATAATGCTTTGTCTCAATCAATTGCAAAGAAATTCTTCTTCTTGTTGTAATGATATATAGTCTATTAAATGTTGGATGATGTATATGGATTAAAAACTATAAGAAAATAAGACTATATTTATTGCATAGTTGGAATATAGAATAAAAATAAGCAAATAAGTATATATATATATATATATATAGTATATAGTTGGGATGTAGAATATAAGCCATTCATTTTGATATTGAAAGTTCCACATTATTTTGGAAGTTGTATTAATTAGACTTTTTGCAATAAAATTATATGGTTTTCAATTACAAAATCCATGTTGTATAATCAAAAAATATTACATAATTATATTCATGGTAAGCTAGTATATCTAACATCTAAGACATTGCTTTTGAATCAATATTTTTCTTCTTAAATAGTATTAAGACATGTTGTCAAGGACAAAGACTCGATGAGGGAAAATATACACCAAAAGGCTATCTCGATATAATAAGTCAAAATATAAACAAGTAGGTATATTAAAAGGAAACTGGAATGGCTATTGCCACAAGACAAGAAATTAAAGACTCTTGAACCGGGACTAGAAGCAAGAAAGGAGTTGACAAGAGTGAAGAAGCCTTCACTCTTGTCTCTATATATACTATCTAACTAGGGGCTACGTGGCGACGTTCTATAGGACCTCCAATATGTGTTGACTTTGTAGGACACATGCCTTGACTTACAAGGCAAGTTTTTCTACGTGTGGGCCACATAGTTAGCTTGATTTTCAAGCTAACAACATGTGTGGCACATGGCCAACTTGTTGACCACGTTTCTAATCCAAAAAGTCAATTAAAGACACCTATGAAGTCAAAGCAGCGTCTAGGAAGTTTCTAGGAAGCTTCTATATTAAATATTATACAATTAACTTACTTTTATCTACTTTTACTTATTTCTACCTATTTCTATATGTAATTATTAGCTTATATGATTATGGCCGTGACATTACCCCCCCTTCTAGAGACGAGTTCCACGAGGAGCGGTCATCATATGTTGAGGAAATCTATGATGCGACGAATTATATTCGCCACATACTCTGATCTCTGTTCTCTTCGAAGATGATTGATAGGGCCTCTCAACCATCGGTAGTGTCCCATACCAGGGCGGGAAGACCACCCAGTTATTTGATCATTATTGAGGCCTTCATAACTTCCTTCGAATAGAATATTCGGAACACCATCAGGAGTTGTTCCTACCTCTAGCAAAATCACCAAACATCGGGAGTCCCTTCCCAAATCGTGATACCAAACGCGTTGTATCTCACCATCTGTTCGAGGAAGAACATGTCGTTCTTGAAGATCTTCATCTCGATTGCGTCGTCTTGAAGGTTGTGACAATCGTAATGTCTCGTCCGGCAGGTCAACAAACGAAGGTTCTTGAGTTAAATCCGCTGGTTTTTGGCTCTCCATCTAATTAGCGTCACAAGAAGTTACAAACAAGGATAGGAAATTGAATGTTATCTTGCCTCAATCTTGTCTCTTTTATAAGAGAGATTTTTATCTTGGTTTTGATGGATGTCGTTGATGAAAAACTTTGACTTTAGCTGATGCATTTGCTAGATTCCTGGATGGCTCCCATGTGCATTCACTAATATCATATCCGCGCCAATGAACAAGATATTCCAGCTTATTTCGGCGCCGCCTTGAGTCTAATATCTCTTCCACCTCAAATTCTTCATTATTATCTACTTCTATAGGAGGCGGTGGCATTTGTCTTCTTCCTTGTATATCCACTGTCTTATATGGTTCAAGAAGAGATACGTGGAATACAGGATGGATCTTCATTGACTCCGGTAGATGTAACCGATATGCAACTGGGTTGATCTATTCAGAAACAGAAAAGGGGCCAAGCCTACGATAGTCCAACTTGTCACAAGGTCGAGTAGTCTTGATATTGCGACGAAGTAGCTATACCTTATCACCCACGTTGATTTGTGGTTGCTCCTTACGATATAGATCTGCGTTTATCTTTTGTCGTTCTTGAGCTTCCTTCAATTGTGTCTTCATTATTGCATGTAACTCTGACAACCGATTTGCCATATCTTCTCCTGCAGGATTATCAACTTTTGAAAAATCAAAAGTATCAAGTCGTGGATGATAGCCATAATTGGCAAAGAAAGGTGTTTGTTGCGTGGAAGAATGTACCGTATTATTATAAGCAAACTCTGCCAATGGCAGAAGGGTTGTCCAATCATCTTGTTGGTAGTTGATAGTACACCTTAAATATTGCTCCAAGACTTGGTTTACGCGCTCTGTTTGTCCATCAGTTTGAGGATGGAAAGCCGAAGATAACTTTATGTCCACTTTTAAAATCTTGAAAAGGGTCCTCCAAAATCTTGACACAAATTGAGTTCCCCTATCCGATATGATATCTTTAGGTAATCCATGATAGCGATAGATATTATCAATGAAAAGCTTAGCTGTTTCTTCACCTGTGATAGATTTTGTACATGGCACAAAATGTGCCATCTTGGTGAAATGATCTACTATCACAAATATAGAATCATAAGATCTTGAGCTTGGAAGATCTGTGATGAAATCCATAGAAACAGAAGACCATGGTTGTTCTGGTATAGGTAATGGCTGAAGAAGTCCGTAAGGTCGATGACGAGGAATTTTTGATCTTGAACAAATATCACATGATTGTACAAAGTCTTTGACTGACTTCCACATTTGTGGCCACCAAAAATCTCTTGATATGAGTTCCAGAGTCTTATTATATCCAAAGTGCCCTGTTGCTGGAAAGTCATGACGTGCTTGAAGAACACGCAAACGTGCTTTTCCTTCTGGAACATATAGGCGTCCTTCAAAATATAATAGATTATTCTTGAACTCAAACTTAGAAGGATCATGAGACTTGGAAGAATTATTCTCAATATCATAAACAAGAGGGTCTGAGGACATACTGGACTGGATTTGCTTGAGAAAAGTTGAATCAACAGTCAATGTTGATTTCATTGCTCGGAGATGAAATTGCTCCGGTTTCAAGAGGACCGTTCTTTGTTGCTCAAAAGTTGCATCTCTTTCTTTTGGTGCAAAATAAGAACGTCTAGATAGGGCATCGGATAAACCTTGTTGTTTTCCTGGCCGATAAGTGATAATGAACTCGAATCTTGACAAAGACATACTCCAACGAGCTTGACGATGATTCAACACGCGTGCTGATATGAAATACTCGAGGTTCTTGTGATCTGTATACACAGTGACTGGACTAGAAGCGCCTTCTAAATAATGACGCCATTCTTGAAAGGAATCCACGATCGCAAGAAGTTCTTTATCGTGGATCTCATAATTGATCTCGGCTGCTGAGAATTTCCTTGAATGAAAAGCTATCGGATGGAGTTTGTCATCTGTTCCCATTTGTAATAAAACTGCACCCAAGGCAAAATTTGATGCATCTGTTTCCATAAAAAATGCCTTGGAAAAGTCAACACGATATAAGACTGGTGCAGAGACAAACGATGTCTTCAAGGCTTCAAATGCTGCTTCCGCTTCTTGATTCCATTGAAATTTATCTTTACTAGTCAAGCGTGTAAGTGGAGCTGCAACTCGTGAGAAATCTTTGATGAAGATCCGATAGTAATTGGCAAATCCCAAGAAACATTGGACATCTCTTACCGTCCTTGGAATCTTCCAATCCACGATTGTTTGGACTTTCTTAGAATCCATCATGAGACCATCATTTGAAATGATGTATCCTAAAAAGTCAACTTGAGTAGTGTGAAATACACACTTTTCCATCTTGGCGTACAATCCTGCATCTCTAAGTTTTTGTAATACTTGACGAACATGTATTTCATGTTCTTCGACGTTCTTGGAATAGATCAGGATATCGTCTAGATAGCAGATGACAAAATTGTCTAAGAATTCACGAAATACATCATTCATGAGATGTTGAAAAGCAGCTGGTGCATTCGTGAGTCCAAAGGGCATGACATTATATTCGAAATGTCCATACCTGGTTCGAAACGCAGTCTTCCATTCATCTCCTTCTTTGATCCGTACTAGATTATATGCTCCTCTTAGATCTATTTTTGTATAGATCTTAGCTTGATTCAACTGGTCAAGGAGTCCTGATATCAAAGGTAATGGATACCTGTTCTTGATTGTGATCTTGTTGAGTCCTCGATAATCAACACACATTCGTAAGGATCCATCTTTTTTCTTTACGAATAGAATTGGAGCTCCTGCTGGAGATTTTGAATGGC